GAGAAAATCAATCATTCTGCCAAACATGTGAAGGACACGGATCCCTACAAAGGTCCAGTCCACTGAACTTGTAAACTCTGAACATGTAAAAAATTAACCATTGCAGTGGCTCTTACCCCACACTGCAAGGGTTAAGAGCTTGTTTTGGTCTAGCGTATAAAATAAGGAAGATATACCCACCTGACCCTCGGTCCTGCTGTAGTGACCGCTCAACTCTCTCCCATGTGGTAACGTCTAAAACACTATTAGACCTGATGACATCACAGGTCCTTAGACTGCTGGAGTCTGGGGGAGAAGAGGCATTGGGGACACATCTAGCAGCCAGGTGGGACCAAAATGAGCACTTAAAGGAGAACTATGAGGTGAGTGATTTCCATTCATTATCGTAGTTAGAGCCGACCGGTGACAAAGAAGCTGTCACAGGTCGGCTCTATCGATCAGGAAGTGAGCAGAAACATGCAGCCGATCGTCTCCCTGCAGTGAGTGGCGACTGTCAGTCACCGCTCCTCGCAGAGATTCCCCCCCCCCTGCAGCATTGATCTGATCATTGATCAGCTGGGTGGATCTCGACAGTATTGTCGGGATTCGTCCCGGCTGCGGCGCTCTTAGTATATCGCGGGCAATAGCCGGTGATATACTGAGCTTTGGGTCGCGGGAAGAGGTTAGTATATGTCCTCCCGCGACCCTAAAGACACCTATGGGGAAAAACGCTTGCCTAATAGTTCTCTTTTAACCCTTGCAGTGCATGGGGTAGCACCACTGCAAGGGTTTTTTTTCATGTGCCTGGAGTTCTTCTTTAATAAATGCACCGACATTAATAAGATAAAAAATGTGTATAGCACTGAAGTCTGCAGAGTATTGCAACCATGATCAGTGTCACTGGGGCTTTGCTCAGGCTTCTGCATTGTTTACATCCCAGCCCCAGGTCTGTACGGCAGTACAGACCTTCTGCTATGGGGTTGAAAGAAGTAAACAAACCAGAAGTGGGGTGATGTCAAGGCACCTATGCCGGTGTGATCTCAGGGTCCCTCTGCTGTGGTGGCAGATAGGGCCTTTAGTCATTTTATTCACAGATCCTTGTGGATGGAGTGGATGACACGGCTGTGTGGGCAGAGCTACTCACAGCAATGCTAAATTCAATTAGATAGCCAGTGTACCCAAGTCATATTTCAGTGATAGATGGATTGTGGTGGCCTGAGCCAGCCCCCGGCTTCTTATATGTCCTGGATACTCCGGTGAGACCTCCCTGCCAAAATTCCCGGCTCTGTTCCTGTCCACCTGGACATTTTGGGTCTTCCCGCTCAGATTTTAGGCATACAGTGGCTGAGCTAGAACACATAGAGAAATATTACCATGATGCTGGTGACATCCCCTTCCTTGGTGGATCGTTTCCATTCTTCCAGGCGCACATGCTTGAAGACGTTTACAAATGGATGCTGCCAGACTGGGAGGACAGGAGACAAGAGAGGGGTGTGAATATATAGTCATATACAGGACACATCTCCAATTACACCCAACTGTTATCCATACACCCAGCGCAGAACCCCCCCTGTTATCCATACACCCAGCGCAGAACCCCCCCTGTTATCCATACACCCAGCGCAGAACCCCCCCTGTTATCCATACACCCAGCGCAGAACCCCCCCTGTTATCCATACACCCAGCGCAGAACCCCCCCTGTTATCCATACACCCAGCGCAGAACCCCCCCTGTTATCCATACACCCAGCGCAGAACCCCCCCTGTTATCCATACACCCAGCGCAGAACCCCCCCTGTTATCCATACACCCAGCGCAGAACCCCCCCTGTTATCCATACACCCAGCGCAGAACCCCCCCTGTTATCCATACACCCAGCGCAGAACCCCCCCTGTTATCCATACACCCAGCGCAGAACCCCCCCTGTTATCCATACACCCAGCGCAGAACCCCCCCTGTTATCCATACACCCAGCGCAGAACCCCCCCTGTTATCCATACACCCAGCGCAGAACCCCCCCTGTTATCCATACACCCAGCGCAGAACCCCCCCTGTTATCCATACACCCAGCGCAGAACCCCCCCTGTTATCCATACACCCAGCGCAGAACCCCCCCTGTTATCCATACACCCAGCGCAGAACCCCCCCTGTTATCCATACACCCAGCGCAGAACCCCCCCTGTTATCCATACACCCAGCGCAGAACCCCCCCTGTTATCCATACACCCAGCGCAGAACCCCCCCTGTTATCCATACACCCAGCGCAGAACCCCCCCTGTTATCCATACACCCAGCGCAGAACCCCCCCTGTTATCCATACACCCAGCGCAGAACCCCCCCTGTTATCCATACACCCAGCGCAGAACCCCCCCTGTTATCCATACACCCAGCGCAGAACCCCCCCTGTTATCCATACACCCAGCGCAGAACCCCCCCTGTTATCCATACACCCAGCGCAGAACCCCCCCTGTTATCCATACACCCAGCGCAGAACCCCCCCTGTTATCCATACACCCAGCGCAGAACCCCCCCTGTTATCCATACACCCAGCGCAGAACCCCCCCTGTTATCCATACACCCAGCGCAGAACCCCCCCTGTTATCCATACACCCAGCGCAGAACCCCCCCTGTTATCCATACACCCAGCGCAGAACCCCCCCTGTTATCCATACACCCAGCGCAGAACCCCCCCTGTTATCCATACACCCAGCGCAGAACCCCCCCTGTTATCCATACACCCAGCGCAGAACCCCCCCTGTTATCCATACACCCAGCGCAGAACCCCCCCTGTTATCCATACACCCAGCGCAGAACCCCCCCTGTTATCCATACACCCAGCGCAGAACCCCCCCTGTTATCCATACACCCAGCGCAGAACCCCCCCTGTTATCCATACACCCAGCGCAGAACCCCCCCTGTTATCCATACACCCAGCGCAGAACCCCCCCTGTTATCCATACACCCAGCGCAGAACCCCCCCTGTTATCCATACACCCAGCGCAGAACCCCCCCTGTTATCCATACACCCAGCGCAGAACCCCCCCTGTTATCCATACACCCAGCGCAGAACCCCCCCTGTTATCCATACACCCAGCGCAGAACCCCCCCTGTTATCCATACACCCAGCGCAGAACCCCCCCTGTTATCCATACACCCAGCGCAGAACCCCCCCTGTTATCCATACACCCAGCGCAGAACCCCCCCTGTTATCCATACACCCAGCGCAGAACCCCCCCTGTTATCCATACACCCATCACTGATCCCCCCTGTTATCCATACACCCAGCATTGACCTTATAGTAGGATATAGCCGAACCCTGTTACAGACAGTGCAGCCAAATTGCACAGTACTAGTGGGGGGGCCCGCATGTCATTGTCTCTATGGGGGGCACACACAGTAAACAGCTCCTCACCTCCAGCCATCTCTGCGGTCTGCAGCTCAAGCCTCCCGCCTGTGCAGCCGCCTCTCCGCCCGTGACGTCAATTCTTCTCACTATCAGGCGCGTGCTGATGACCTCACCGACGCTAAGACCCAGTAACCAGGCAACGGAGTGGATCCGTTTCCTAACCCCGCCCGCGTTCGTTCTACTGGCTGATCAATGCTGACCCCACCCACGGGGCAGAACCCTGAGCGAATACTATATATAAAGCCCACTACAACGGGCCGGTGTGTTAGGGGGGATCGGTCAGGAGCAATGGACTGTTACCAGGTCGGAGAGTTATAAGTACAGATCTCGGCCTACTGGGGAGTCCGGGTGAATCTTAAAGTTTAATATTTGGAGAATTATTATTACAAAAATAAGACTTCGTCTGGAATGTATCATATAGGGGTACCAGTCCCCATGTGTTATTAATCACATGGGGATGCTGATTCTTGTGTTATTAATTATACAGGGGTGTGGATATACTGATTCCCATGTGTTATCAATCACATAGGAGAGTGAGGGTATGCTGATTCACGTGTTATCAATTATAGAGGGGTACAGGGATGCATGGATGACAATCTCCTTATGTTATAAACCATGGGGGTGCAGGGATGCCAATTTACATGTTATCAAATATGTAGTGGTGCAGGGATGACCATTCTCATGTGTTATCAATCATATAGGGGTGCCAATTACTATGTGTTATCAATCATATAGGGGTGCAGGGATGACCATTCCCATGTGTTATTCATGAGGATTCTAGCAACACTGCTGGCAGACACCTGGAACCCCCTTACTGTATGTATTAAGGACATATTGGGACTGCACTAAGGGGGATACAGGATGAGATGTGAATGTGTCTGCAAAGGTGAGGATGTCTACAGACATATTTGTAGAATATATGTAAAAGTTCCTCTCAGATGTGAATTCGCTTTTTATTTTATTCTAACAGATTTTATAACAAAAGCATCACAAGACAAGTAGGAGGAACAGACAGATTATGTACAACGCTACTCTATATGCATGCACTCTATAAATAATAACAGCACAAACAAGTGCAGTTTTATTGTATTTATTGCTCATCAGAACATTTGCTTTATAAAACCGCAGACATCTGTTAGAAATGTGTCTGCATTGCCCATAGCAACCCACAATCCCCTTGCTTTATTTTCCAGCCCGTACCAGTCTCTATAAGCAACAAAAACGCTTTCAAGGGTGTATTTGTAAAACAATCACAGAGCCATAGTCCTGGTTCAGGTCAAATGTAATTCATTCATCAGATTAAAGCGGGACAATACCTCATTATGGCCACTGGAACCCTCAGTCTTGCCCCCAATGTGAAGTCTTCGTTGTACAAATCTCTGTAATGTAACTCAGTTGCAGGATCCAATAGCTAGACTTCCCTGTGTGGTGATCGGAGCTGAGACCTCGGGTAAGGGGATGGGGTCGACTGAACTCATCAGCATCTTCTCCAGAACTGAATTATTCATTTTTGCCACCAGACACATGAAAAGGGTTTCCTG